TCCATCAGATGCTCCTCTGGCTGTGATTGGTTGTTTTGTCTCGTCCCGAAATATTCTTTCCAGATTGCAATACAGGCAGTAGGCGGGACCAATTGAAGCGGTTTTTTTCATAGGTTACATATCACATGTACTGCTGTCTGGGCATAGGGACAGTTTTAGCCCATATGACAAAAAAGTGATTTTTAAAAACTTACAGACTTCAGCTTTAACCTCCAGATGCTGTGTTCAAAGATTAATCTTTAAATCACACCTAAAACTAATCTTGAACACTGTTTTTGAATCTGAGTTAGTGTTAAAGTCTTCTGGGTTGGATTAACAGCAAGTTGAGGCTTCATTGCCCCCGTTTTCTCACCTGCTGGGGCTCTGCAGCAGCTCCACAGCTTCTTGTAGCTGGTTAATCATGTGAATTTGGAGCTCTGTGCCCCCCGAGACCTTAGACCTAAAACAAGAAAGTATAAAAGGGACATTTATATAAAAAATGTGTACAATGGATTCAAAAATTGTTGCAATGCATGCATATTTATGTTTTTAGCCAAAGAGGTCTCTGTGAACTGTATAAAATAATCCCTAACACCATTTGTCCAATACTAGAATAATAATAAGTATTTATAATATATATTTGACTTGGAGAATGTATTCTTTGCAGTCAACCAGGAATGGCATTAAAATTAACAAACTTACGTTAAAAGCCTTCAGCTGACCCAAAATGCTGCAGTCCGAGTTCTCATGAAAATTAAAAAGAGATTATATCTCTCCTACCCTCACTTCTCTTCATAGGCTTCCTGTTAAATCAAGAATAATTTCAAATCCTCCTACACACATATAAACCCTTAAATGGCCAAGCTCCATCTTATATCAGAGGTATGATTGTTCCCTATGTCCCTAACAGAGCACTTCACTCTGAATCTGCAGGTGTACTGGTGGTTCCTAGAATCTCTAAAAAAATTAAATGGAAGCAGATCTTTTAGTTATCAGGCTCCTCTCCTGTGGAACCAACTACCAGTTTTAGTCCCTGAGGCAGACACCCTGTCTACGGGTTTAAAGGTAGGCTTAAAACTTTGCTTATTGATAAAGCTTATAGTTAGAGTGGCTCAGGTTATCCAATGCTATCTCTATAGTTATGCTTAGACTGCTGGAGGACGGGGACCCCCTTTTCATTCTACTTCATTCCATCTCTTTTCTCCCATTCTGCAGAATTTATTAGTTCAATCTCTAACATAAGGTTCTATCTGCTTTTTCACATAGCAGCTTCATCCGGTCTGTTCCTGTTTGGCTGTGACGCCATCCTGAAGAGAACTATCAGCTGTGCATGTGTTCTCTTCATCCTCTGACATGGGAGCTGGCTCGGAGCTCGTTTGCCTGACTGTGTTTCGTGGACGGGGCCGCCTGTGGAGCTAGTTGACAGTGTCTCTTGAACCCCAGCTGGCCTTCGAGTCAATGAGTCGATGCAATCAACTGGTTTTTATTAGGTAGAAATCTTTGAACCAATCTGACGGTATGATCGGGCTGAATTGTCTCTTTAAAGTGCCCTGAGATGACATGTGTTGTCACTGAATTAGTTACACCACTCTGTGTTGCTAACTTTCCAGGCTCAAAAAGTTTCAGTCTAGACAACTGGACGTGAAGTATTCCTCTCATCCAAGACGCTTCTTTGGTTCTAACTAGTGGTGGGGAGGTCCTCATCACTAGTTAGAGCATGACCAAGCTTCACCATGACCTGGATGACAGAGAATCTTCAGAGACATGCGAGAGTGCAGCTTTTCTTGTCACATGATTAACCTTAAACTGCATAATGCTGGCTGGCAGAGAAGCTTTGCAAAGTAAAATCCATGATCATTTTTAACAAACACTTCTAAATATAGAGGCAATGCTACACTAGGGTATTTCAGAAAACTGGATCAGTCATATATTCGTTCAACTACCACTAAATAAAATGATTAGCCTGAAGGAAAGAATGAAATGCAATCCTCTGGATGACTTACCAAGGTGATGCATGTAAAAGCACATAGGTTGTGCTAAATAAAACTCTCAATGTTAAATGCTTTGAAAAGACTCAACTTTAACCATCCTCAGTATCAGTAAAATGTTTACAGTTAAGTCAGATGATTAACAAAGCTTAAGCAGCTATTGAAAAGCGACTGCATTTTTCACATAACATATTGTGCAACTTTAAGGTTTTTATCACAGAGTTGTTGAAAACTTAGGCACTTTTCTTTTTTCATACTTGTATTTGTTACTTTAAATCAAATAATCTTCAGACCCAAAATAAAGCCATCTCCAACTAGAGTGTAAGTGTAATACCAGTTTAAGTTGGTTTGTTACATCCGAGCAAAACACAGATTTCAGAAATCTGGGTTTCTGATATCTAAATCTCTTCTCAGTGCACCACTGCTTATTTTAACTTTAATTATTACTGATTTTGAAAGTTATATAAAATATTGAAATCGGCTTAAACAAAAATTTGTTAACTAAATAAGTTTCCTGAAAAAAATATATTTTCACAAGTAGCTGTAAGGTAAAAAGAGTAGCCTAAATGTATGAATGAAAGGCTAAACAATAAATCAAAGGATGAATAAACACTCAGAAGCTCTGTTTAACTGGATAAGCACCAGTGTTAAACTCACGTTTGTTCCATTGGCCAGTGTGGGTCTTCCTCTATCCTCAGTGGTTCTTCAAAGTCTGCAGCGGTTCGACCCTGCAAACAAACAGAAATCAGCAACAGCTGCACCCGTCACATTTCACTAAATCTCCACCAGCCATTGGCCAGAAGTCAGAGACATTAGCTACATCTCGCCCATTTAACAGCTCTGTTATATGAATTCATATTAAAGCAATCAACCTAAAGAGGATTATTTTCTATTAAAAAATTTTTGGGCAACAGCTCAGTGTCCAGTATTAAAAATCATGTCAGGGAGTTTCAGCCAAAAATCCTAACTTAAAACAGACTCAAACAACTCCAGTAGAGATGCATTTTGAAAAAGAGCTAAATTATCAGGAACTTCAAAAGCACTCTGAGAACACAGACCTCCACAGAGCTGCAAATCTTGCAAATCCACTCGAGGGCAAATTGTACTGCTTCCTACCAATTTATTGGCATATCATTAAAAGAAATTCAGCTATCACAGCAAAAATATTTTGAAGCCAAACTTTACTATGTTTGTCCAACTGTGAGTTGGTAAAGAGAAAAGCTGGGGTCTGTTCCCAGTGTTATTTTTTCACAAAACGTTTTTATCTTTTTGATATTGCTAATGGATGGATAGGTATTTTCCCATTGTCTTTTCCAGTTTGATTAATATTTAAGTGGCATTGGAGTCTCTGTCATCATATTTACACCCAAACAATGTACAAACTTTTGGGTTGCTAATTTAAAATTCCTTACTAACCCAAAAATATATACATTTTTGTAAAAAGATTCTTAGAGGTGCTAGAAATGGTTCCACATTGTTTTTTAACGCAGATTCTGTGTTAAATGTTGGTGATATTCTCCTTCTGCAAAAAACAGAATTATTTATATTTTCAGGGTGTTAGATGTGGAGGGAGCTGAATCTAGTGAAGTGAAGCAGTTTAGTCAACATCACAGCTTTCCGCAAGTTCCATCAGATATATAATGGAGCAAGGCCATTTATTGCTTCACACTCTAACAAGCCTGGAGTGAAACACAGAAAGAATAAGCAGCTCCATGGACGGATATCTTGCCTTGATGTAGTTGATGAAGCGAGAACTGAGAGACGAGCCTCTGTAGCTCATTGGGTCGTTCAGGGCTTCTGTAGGGCTTTCTTCTATAAGATGCACTGAGTCAGAGTTTGGATCCACTGCAATAAAGGAAATGGAAACTGTTAAACCTCTGTTTTATACGAAGTTTATAGGATTATCAGAGGTAAATATATGCTCAACTTGCAGAAGGAAAATTATCAGCTTGCTTCCTTTTCTTTTTGTTCATTAGAAACTGGTGACTTTACTGAGTTAGAAATACAAGGAAGGTTTTGACAAATCACAAACACAAATATCTGTACCAAGCATAGGGCTACAGAGTGCTTAGCAAAACTTTTCACCCCTCCCTCAAGAACTTATATTTTGTTCAAGTTTCAATACATTTTTGCTTGAACACTTCTAACTACAGCTATCGAGAATTTTAGTATTAAGGATTCGTATATTTATTTCGTTTTTTTTTTGGTTACATTTTACAAGAATCTTAAAACCATAATTTATAAATGGTAAAGATACAATTTATAAATAATAAAGAGATAGTTTATTAATAATTCATTCTGTTTTAAACTGAATCTAAATAATTTATAAAAGCTAAATATATAATTTATTAAGGTAAAGTGGTAGCCATTCAAAATGTCCCCACTTTCCTTGATGGGCCCTTGGCTGGTCCTTGGCTAGTCCCCTACAATTCCTTTTTAAACATCAATCATTGCACTAAAATATTCATTCTGTCATGATTTGCGGAAAGTTAGATCAAAAGAGAAGTATCATCTCCTTATCAGACCCTGTGATTCAGTGAAATGGTGGAGTAAAAAAAAAAATGCATGCTCAGAATGCCAGTGGCTGGAAGTTGAAAGGGATTTTGCTGGGAGCTGCAGGGAAGTGGGCAGCCATTAAGCATTTTGAATGGCTGCTACTGTATAAGCACACTAATGTTAGGGCTAAACTAAAATCGCAGGGCACTATAAATAAGTCCTATTAGGTTAGGCATGAAGCCCACTAATGTTAAAGTTAAGGATGAACTAAAATGGAAGGGCAAAATTATCTGTTTACAAATATTAATAAACTATCTGTTAATAATTAAAAAACATTGTTGCTTTATCATTTATAAATTGTGGTTATGATGGTAATTGTAAAGGGTTAACTTTTTTTATTAATCTAATGAAAAAAACAAATTTTAGTAATAAACTTTATGAACTTACAAAAACCTTTATTGTATCTTTTAATGAATCAAACATGAAATTAAAATGATCAAATTGTTCAAAACATTGCAACTTAATTGAAAAACCCTACTTGCAAATAAAAAAAAAACTTTTTAAAGCATTTTACTTTGACTAAGCCATCAGTGGCTCAGCTGTGGTGTAGGTCTACAGCACCAAATTCCTGGAGGTGCACATCACATCAAAAGGGCACAGAAGCGCATGTGCTTCTTGCCGAGGACTAGGAGAGCCCACCTGCCCCCACCCATCCTCACCACATTCTACAGAAGCACTATAGAGAGTGTTCTGACCAGCTGTCTCACTGTTTGGTGTGGAGGCTGCAGCGCCTCAGACTGGAAGAAAGTGAGGAGAGTAGTGAGAACAGCAGAGAAAATCATTGGGGCTCCTCTTCCCTCCATAAAAGACATTTCATCCCAGCGCTGCGTGTCCCAAACCCTTTAAATCATAAATGACCCCTCACACCCCCACCATGACAAGAGCAAGATCTTCCTGCTAAACCTGTTAGTTTATTGGAAGACCCCATCTCTGTAGGTGTGTAGTTGTGCCATCTTCTTTCCATAATTATATGACATTTATTTCTACTTTTTTGACAACTGTATATCATCACACCATGTTCCATTAAAATAGTCGACTATTTTGGTCTATCACAAGGAAATCATAATAAAATGCACCAAATGCTGTGGCTGTTACATAACTAAATGTGTAATAGTTTTGGGGGTAGGTGAACTTTATAAAGGCACCACAAAAAAAAGGGAATGCAAAACAAAACATGAATAAACGTAAACTGCATGAAACCAGCTTATTAGTTCAGCAAACTGCTGAAGTAATTCAGTATAAACACTAGAAATAGAAACGGAGAACCCACTTCTTACTCACATCAGCTCAGGAAATGTGCCACTCCATCAGCCTAACCCCATTAAAGCTGATTGGAGTCTATTTAAACAAAGTGTCCCGGGAGCTGCTGCTGTTCCCTGTTAGGCTCCCAACCTAGATCTTGATACCAAGCTCAAAGTCTTACAGGACCTGCCCCCCCCAATGAAACCAACATACATCTATTCTATCAGTTGACAGGCTTTCAGGATAGGCCCTGGTGAGGGACAGATGACATAAGAATCAAACATCTCATTTACACAGACTTAACATCTCTGAAATCCGAGTGAAACCCTGAAGACACCAAAACAATTACATGCTAAATACTTGCCTGTCATCAAACCATGCCACCAACAAGATTTGATGGGAAATGGCACAGCTCTCTTTGACCAGGATCACTCATTTATAATCTCCCCGCTGAAGATGCCCGGGAGGCTTTGCTGCTTCAGCACCAGTTCAGCTGGTTGTTCTTACTGGAAGCATGAATATGTATTTTCTAGATGAAAATTCTTAAGAATGTTCCACCATCATCTCAGACAACAGAAACTAATCACCTTTTTATTTTTTTAAATTACATGCACAATTGTGTTGCTGATTTGGATTTGTACTTCGACCAGCTGCATTGCTTCCAAATAAAACAGAAAAGAACTTTATTGATCTCACAACGGAGAAATTCACTTGTGACATTGGCTTTTATAAACAAACAGAAGGGGCACAAAGGAGGAAAAGGTGCATGAAGTATATAATGTGCATCCAGATACATACAGTGAATGGTAAAAAAATAAAGGAGGAGAGCTTTAAGGTGACTTAAATATACAGCATCTTATGTACAGTTAAGTGGTGGCAGGTAAAGTGCAGTTTCTGGTTTGTTAAATCTCCTAATCTTCAATTTTCCAGCAGGTTCTGAAGGCCTGAGATAAAACCTGGCATTTGGATGTTCATAACTTCCTCCATCTTGACAAGAAAATTAGTTCCAGTCCCAGATATGAAAGCTGCCAGCAACTCTAATCCTAGGTATGGTATCCATTTTGTATGGTCCAGTATGATTTTGGTTTGGTTTGCCATAAGCAGTTTATTTTTACAAACAGAATTGGGAAACTTCACCAGAGCTGGATATTTTTTTTCCATGGAAACAAAAGCCCCTCTGTGGAAGGAAAGGCCTTACATCTATAATATAAATATTATGGGACAGCTCTGAACTCCTTAGTCCAGTCTATGAAGAAAACTCCTTCACTAGTAGTGTCAGCCTCCCCTCTCAGTGTCAGTCTCTTCTTGTTACAAAGTTTGGAGAAATTACATGTTTTTATCATGACACTTGTACTGAGAGAGCAGAACTTTATTCAAGGTACATTAGATGTCCTTTCATTAATGGTAGATGTGACCAGAGGAAAACTGAATGCAGTATTTAAAGGTGTGTGTGCTCTCATGCAACCATTATGTTTTTTTGGGTCTGTGTCTTCTTGTGCGCTTTAACTGTTTCAGAACTACCCTCTACCATAGTTGCTGTCCTTCTTACCTGTTAGGGAGCTTATGTGTTCAATAGAGTCATCTTTGCCAATTCCCTCTTCCTCTGTAATGTTACTCATTGGCACGTTGAGACTCAGACTATCTTCATCTGAAGGCTGCAGGAAATGAAGCCAGCAATAATGTTAAGGTCATGTATTAAAATGGAAATGAAATAGTCAACCAAACTAACTTAATTCACAAGATTATGTCTTACTATTATCAATGATTATATTACAAAAGGGAAAAATATAAACATCAAAGAAAAAACAAAGCTTGGTTTTATAATTTTTTTGGTAATATGCTACAGCTTAAAACTGAATACTTTGGATATACCAAGATGTATAGATTACACCCATAAAATACTTAAAACATTTGGTTAGATGGTAGATGAAGCTAAAACAACACTTTAGCATCTAAATCACTTTGTTTATACTTTTAATCCCATTCACAGTGTGACTTGAGCATTAGTAAGGAGAACAGAGGCAGTTTGGGAGCCGGTACGTGTTTTGGGGCGAAACGGGTGACAATGCGACCTAGTGTGGCTACTGTTCACGGATCCCCATGGTTATGGATTCTATCTGCTGTCAGGAGGCTGAATTGGACCGTACTGTTCAGCCAATTATGCTTTACCAATGTTCGGATATTTAGATTGCTGTGCTGAGAGCTGGAAGTTTTGGACATGTTCCTGAATAATCCCCAAGCAGATACATAGAGCAGCCTGACATTTCAGAAATAAAGTCCACAGGATGGTGAAGGAGAACATGGACCTTAGGGTAGCATGGATAGGGAGAATCCTGGCTCCAAAACTGCCTCTTCTCTCCTTCCTACAGCTTTACTCACGGTGAACAGGCTTAAAAGCATAAGCAATGTGATTTAGAAGCTGGAGGGTCCTTTCATCTTCATCCTTCATTAAACCAAATGCTTTAAGCGCTTTTTTGTCACCGTTCGAGGTACTGCAACATGGCGGAGCCTTTAGCAAAATCTTATAAATCAAAAATTAGTTTTTCATTTACATTGTTCACATTTGTAATATAATCACAACATGACAATGGTAAGACACAATCTTGTGAATTAAGTTAATCTGTTTGACCATGTTATTTCCCCTTAAAAACATCCAAAAACCTTTTAAATATTCAGCGTTAATGTTACAAAAAAAATCTGTTTTTCACATGGACCAATAGACCTTAGCATCTCCTTACATTACCATATTACTTAATAACATTTTACTTAATACATTCTGAAGCTATTGAAGCAGTTTCTGAATCTAAGGTAACACACTGGAATGCAAAGTGATCACTTAATGTAAATCTGAGACTTAACTTTCAGAAACCTTGCATTAGTGAGCAGGAAGAGAAGTGGAATCTTCAAGCTAAATTATAACCCAATAGGAAATAAGCATACTGTAGCATGACGTGTAAGTATAAACTGATAAAAGCAGACATATGTAAGCATAGAATCACAGTGACAGCTTGCGTAGACAGAGTTACACATAAAAACATGGAGTACCTCGGTCGCAGACAGCCTCTTATCTCCGTTATCGCTGCCGACTCCAGAGTCGCTGTCCTGCTTCCTCTGCTGCTCCATGTCCTCCACACTGCAGACAAATTACACAGGTTACACACCTGACACACACACCCACAGGGGTTTGTGTGTCTGAATGAGTACAACACACTGAACAGAGAGACCTTTCCTTCTTTGTGTTAGTCCCAAACTTTCCTTTAGGATTTCTCTTTTCTTCACACGGCTTTATTAAAATGATAAAAAGCTGACCTTTCCCCATTCTATTTGATTTTTTTTATTTTAGTTTTATTTCATTGAGCTCTCAAGATTAAATCATTTCAATATTGGCTATATGACATAACATAATATTTTAGTATTTTTACTTATTGTATTTGTTTTTCATTCTTTTGTTCTAAAAGTTTCTTGAAATGCTTGCTTGCAGGTTTTGCTTGCAGGTTATCTCAGACTCTTATTTAATTTACTGTTTGGTAAATTATAACAAGTTATTTTATATCAAAAACTTTCTTTTTCCCTCTTATTTGTTTTCAAGAGGCATACACATGGTTGGGTATTAACACATAATTAAGCATGCTTTGTAAATTGATTTTATAAGACAGGTTGGATCACATTAGAAATTTCTTCCTTCTACACCTTTTCAATCAAAACCTTTGTAGCTGTACATATCAAAATGTGACATGTACATTTTAAACTGCTATTTAATGGAAAGACTCAAAACCTTAATGGAAAAATCTTTAAACCAGGCGCAGTTTAGTGTCCATAGTGGCTCATCTGTTTTCTCTACAGTATTCTGAGAAGGTGGTCATTTAATTTTTTGACCATGTAAGGTAAATTCCTACATTTAAAGGGGAATGCTGTTTTTTTTTACATTGGGCCCTTGATTTTATGTTATTACATCATGTTCTAATCACCCATATGAGTTTTGTGTCATTTGGAGCCTTTCTGAAGATATTCCGTTAGGTTATATCCAAGTAACGTCTTCCTATGGGCACAAACTAAACTGTTCATAATTTATCATTTATGGTACACCAGCATTCATAACATGTAGGCGAATCACTGTCCCCCAGACATCCACGCTTATATTTTTTATATTTATATTTTTTTAAAACAAAGCGGAGTGTGTATGACATCATCCGCGCGCTGGACACGCTGGAGTTGTGACAGGCAGCCCGGGCCACAGGCAGCTACGCTCTATCCCTTATATTATTCTGCTAGCTAATTTGAATCGTGCAATTCCATTTCAAGAGCGAGATCATCTGTGGTAGTAGCACTAGACATCTTCCAGGCATGTGAGTAAAACTAGCAGCAGTTCAGCGGACAGGAAAAATGAATGGTAGCCGGCGGACGCGGAGGACGTCATACACACTCAGCTTTGTTTTTAAAAGATATAACTATAAAAAATATAACCGCGGATGTCTGGGGGATAGTGATTCGTCTACATGTTATGAATGTTGGCGTACCATAAATGATAAATTATGAACAGTTTAGTTTCGGCCTTCAACTTGTTTGCCCATAGGAAGATGTTACTTGGATATAACCTAACGGAATATCTTCAGAACAGCTCAAAATGACACAAAACTCATATGGGTGATTAGAACATGATGTAATAACGTAAAATCAAGGGCCCAATGTAAAAAAAAACTGGTGTCCCCCTTTAACCTGAAGTGGTAGAGCATTCCTCAATGCTTTTTGGCCGAGGATTGTGGTCTTCTTAAGTCTGATCCAGCAACAAAAGACAGTAACTCAAGAATGAATTCCAATATAATTACTTACTCTATATATCATACCATTAAAAATCATCTCTCACTGCTACAAAGTAGGGGTGGAACGGTTCACAAAATCCACGGTTCGGTTCGGTTCACGGTTTCGTGGTCACGGTTTTCGGTTCGGTATCTGTTGATTGTTACACCGAAATCTCATAAAAATGTATGAAATTAATGAAAAAATCCAAAAAAAAATAATGAATTGTAATTATTTTTAATGATCCGGGGAAACCCTGGATAATTTCCGCATGTTTTGTTGCTTTGAATTTAATCATCTTGCGTATTCCCTCTACGATCTCCAAGGAACTCAGAGCGGAGCGGACGTGAGCCACAGTGGAGGCTGTAGGCTTTGCTTTGTGCAGGCGGTCTGGTGCGCAGCGGGGCGGAGAGCTGACGGAGTATTTGGGATTTCGGGGTTAGCATGACATGTTGGTCATTTTGCTGTTAGCATAAACAAAACGTGTTGCACAATGTTGCACTTTTATCCACAACTTTCTTTCCGCCGTCATCGTAGGTTACTCTAAATGCAAAGTGGTCCCATACAGCAGACCTATAAAGTGCTGCTGGCACGTTTTCTAACTCTTGAAAAAAAACTGTTTTTTTTTCTGCTACACCCAGCTACGCTGCTTTGCTTCTTCTTGTTTACTACTGGTGGTTGGCTTTGGTCGCAGTACCGCCACCTCTGCTCTGGAGTGTACACGCTTCGCTGATGAGAAAAAGGAGCAGCGCATGAACCGAACGAAACACACGTGAACCGAACCGAGACAGTCGAACCGAACAGTTTGGACCGTTTTCAAAAACCGTTCCATCCCTACTACAAAGCCCCTCCCCCCAAGACAGTTCCAAGGCAATCTCACAGAAAATGCAGTCCTGCGGCCACGGTGTTTAAGGAGAAAAGCAACTGCATCATACCTGGTTCTTTCTCTTTGGGGACTGATCTCTTGTCCGTTCATATCAGAGAGGAACTAGCATGGAAGGCCCCATGTTAGAAGCAAAAACTGCAAACTGATCAACGGCTAAAGGCCAATTTATGCTTCTGATGTATAGCCTCTGGATCTGTCGTTGCGCAACTCTAAAAAAAACCTGACTGGACGTCGGAAGTTCGCAAACCCACACAGACTTTGAGCGTAAGTACGCAGACAAAAAGCAGCTGTGATTGGTCCTTGGTATGCCTTTCCGGCTGTCTGTGTGGTTGTCCTTCTCGATTTGGTGCCGGGGCGCGCCATTTTTAAAAACAAAGGAACAACTACAATGGACAACTATGACGAAAGGTTAATCTGTCTTTTTGCCAACTCCATTAACGGCACCTGTTCCTCTTCGATGTCTAGCAACTCTAGATCCATCTCCTTGACCGTGAAATCTTGCAGACGCGCCATTGTTGTTTTGGAAGATAAACACTCCCGCCGGCACCGCAGAAATTCTCGCGGGTTCACGAATAGGCTCCCCCTTTAGCTTTGGCAGGAAACTGCTGTACGTCACTAGAAATTCCAGACTGACGGTGCAAAAGCATACCAGCAAAACTGGTTTGCGAACAGACCAAAGCGAGATGTGATGTGTGCGGTTGCAGAAGTATAATCTTCTCTCAAGTTGACCAGGTGGCTGACATCAGAATCAAATTGCTGCAAAAAAAAAGTGTTTGCTCTCATTGAGTTACAGGACTTTCAGGTGCAAGAGGCTGGTGGTTTGGAGCCTCTGAAAACAAAGAACTTTGCAGATGTGTGGGAACTAGCTGGAACAAAAAAACTCCTCTGCTGTTGTATGCTATGCTAAGCTGGTGGACACTGCAACTCAGCCTTTGCTAAAAGGGAAATCAACAAAGGCAGAGGTCTGGCACATTTAGAGATACATTTTACAGTAAAACACTTTGTTTCTTTGATAAATTTTGATAATTTCATGTGTTTACTGTTGACTAAAACAAGTTATAAAAATGGACCGCATAGAATGTTATGCTGACATGTTTGAGCTGTTGTTCATAAAGCTAAAACAAGCTTTATTTTACTAAGGGTTTAAATACCAAAATAACTTTAACATTCATGTGTTTTCTCATACGCTCATTGAATTTTGATAACCAAATTATAACCAAAGATAATTTAATGGGAGTCCTCATGCTTGCTAGCTACTAGCTCAAAGAAAGAAAGTTCAGAATTCAGACAGATCTCCCAAGAGCTGTGAGTGAGTAAGATGGCATTAGACTGGTAGTAAACAAAACAGTATAAAACCGTCTAATTTAGCTGTAATTCAGGTAAAACAAATCAATGAATATAAACCAGGGATATAAACCCTATCAATTCCACTTTCTTACATTTTTCTACTCAAACTGGATGAGGAAACTTTGGAGAACCTATACATATAGAAACAACAACAACACATCTACCCTCCACCTGGTTTTAAATACACAGTAATCCAACAGGCAACAACAGTACACAAAGCAGGAGGGGTGCTGGCATGGGGTCTTTCACTACTCTGTTGTCTCTGCTCCACCTTGGGATGGGGCTGGGCCTTCGGGGTTGGTTACAGCTTGGCTGGGGTTTCTAGCTCTCCTTAGGCTCTCCAGCCTTTGATTCCATATGGCCTTAATGTCTTTTCCGTCTGCTTGGATGGGGAATGACGGTTCCTGGCATTGGCTGGGGTCTGGGACATTGGAGGGTTTGGCCCCATCCTTGCTGGAGAGCCGACTGGCTGGTGTGGTTGTAAGGCAGGTGGTGTGGGTCTGCCTGCTCTGATCCTGCGAGCGGCCTGTGCCTACAGTCTGGTGGGGGGACACTGCAGGCATGTCGAGTGCCTTGGCTTGGGTGGCTGTTGTGCCGTACTTGGCCTGAGGGGTTGGACCGCCTGGGTTGTGATTGCCTCGCAGCTATGGATATGGGAAGACCATACAGATGTGGGGGCCTGGAATGGCTGTGACTGGCTTGGGGTGGGGTGTGCTCTTCGGTGGGTTGGCCTCAGTCCCCTGCGCTCTCTTCTGGGTCCACCTTGGGTGTGACCATCTGCTGCAGCCCCATGGGACGTAGGCACAATGGCCTCTGGGGTCGAGCCTCTTTGGGGTTTGGCCCCTCATGTGTCTGGGGCTGAGATTGCTTCTGCCTCTATATGCCCAAGGACTGCTAAAGGTCCTTCACCATATGTGGTGAGTCTGGGGCCGCCCACACCTGCTATTAAACATATTTATTTTCTGAAGAAGATTTGCAAATCATTTATACAAAAACATGCCCATGCTTACATACCACAGGAGTTTGGTTCAAGGTACTCACAGATACAAACTAATGCTCAAAGCTAAGCTGCAGCAACAGACATAAACCACCCTGAATAATATTGTGTAATCACCATTGGTTTTGCTTTCTAAACACATAGATATCCAAGGGATGTTGGTTGGTGTTTTCAAGGTAATATGGAGAAAAACTGAAATAGTTCCTGGTGATGTTCTATGTACTCAATTCATGAGAGGCCTAGGTCAGCTGCACTACCCCTATAGACTACTTTGAATTTGTCTATAGAAGCTAGAGCTCTAAAAAAAAAAAAAAAAAAGAACATTTGGTCATAAATATCTGATTGGTTTATCTCTATGTTAGATTGGTTCTTTTACATAAAAGAGATAATTATCACATATCTAATTAACATAGTGAAACAGAAGCTACATGTTAAAGTTATCGATACAGACCCCGGTGGGCACTTTTTATGAAATAATAATTGAGTTTCTCTTCATTTAAAAAAAAGAGCATTGAAATACTTATATACTTATATACTTAATATAATTAAATTAGAAGTAATGCGTCAACCGTTTTCCTGCTAAAAGGACATTTGAAGTTGGTGTTTCAGGAGTGAATCAGATAAGGACATTTAAGAAATCATGCATAAAATCTCAACTAATTTCATGTTGAAGAAAGTCAATGTTACCCCTGCTGTTGAACTACTTTAAAATGGTACTGCTACTGTCAGGTGGGCATGTTTAAAGTTTTTTCCTTAAATATAGCCAGGGCTGCAACTAACAATTACTTTGAAAATCAATTCATCTATCGATTAATAATCGTATAGCAAATGGTTCCATAAACAAGACTTTTAACGAAATTAAACCAGGTGAAACTCAAATGTTTCCACTTGAGGAGTTCTGGATAGAGCATATTGACAGATAAAAATAGTCTGTACTCCAGTTAACGATTATCTGATTACTAAATTGGTCTACGTTTATTTCAATAATAGATTAATCATGATTAGTGTGATTATTGTTTCAGCCCTGAATATAACTTATCATAAATAATTAGGACATATAATTGTGTCTGGGTTCTCAGGACCGTTACTTTGTCAGCTGTAGAAATTAGGCCTTGAAGAAAGAGCGCAGACCCACAAAGAAGGAAAAGGAAAAGAAAACTTCCAACTGGGTTACATAGAAAAATTAATCCCATTGCATTTACCTGCCGGTGTAGGGACGGGGGAAACTGAGTCGCTCCATAACTGGGAGGTACAGAGAGTCAGGCATCTTCTCGCTGCGACAAGCCTCGAGGCTCAAATACTTGAATATGTGGACTTTCCCCTTGATACAGATCTGAAGATGGAAATAAGAGCGAGAGACTTATCAAACTGGTCAGAAGTGGGTAATAATTTATCGACTTGTAATCAGAACGTTTGGCAGTCCCCCTCCCATCAGGTCCTGAACAATAGAATCGTTGTTCCACTTTCTCTAAAATTCACCAAAAATAGTTTAAAATGTTTGTTATATTCATTACTTCATATTGACTGTCTGGTCAATATTTGTTTATGTCCAATTTTGATGTGAATTTGTTTAGAATGCTGGGTTTCTATTTTACATTTATCATTTATATTTTCACGCATTTAATTGACAGCTACTTATGAGATTTTTTAAAATACTTGACTGTTTTATTTGCAATTTGATTTTATTCATGTTATTTCCTTATTTATATCTTTTCACACAATTCTTGTTGTTGGAGACAAAGGACACAATTTGGCTGATTTAAGTCTTCTAACTTTTATCGATATTATGCTCTTCCCAATGGTATATTTAGACTAAAATGGGGTAAATCTAAAAAAAAAAAAAAAAAAAAAAGACTGTATTATATGCAACCCATGCCACGGAAATAAGCACTTTCATGTGACCAGATTGGTTTTTTTTTATGCGGTAAAAAACACAGTTTGGCCACTTTTGGAACATCAATGTCAAAATCACAGTTCAAAACCATACCAAAACATACCATATTCATGAAGCACTTTCAACACCCAACAGGACCAAAGTGCTATACACAATAATAAAATAAAAATAATCAAGCATAAAACATAAAGACGTGTATAAAAATAGTAATAACATAAAAGAAACACAGTAAGACAAAGTCAATATATCAGATTATGTTAAAAGACATGGAAAAGAAATGGGTCTTAAGAAGAGATATAAAATCAGAAAGTGATGAGGCCTGTCTAATGGCCAAGGGAACGTCCTTCCAAAACTTAGGGGCTGTGACAGAAAAATGGAGGTATATGCAATTTAGTATTTTCTAGAGTGAATCTGCCAATGATCTGATAATACAATTCTATTATCCTGTTCGCCTAGAATTAAGGAAAAAGCTAAATTGGGTCCTCTTATACTGATCTGAGTATGTACCTGTGCAGGTGGACTCTGCAGCGGGTTGTTTTCCAACTGCAGTGACTGGAGTTGCCTCATTTTTCTGTAACACACAGGGATGGTGGACACCTTGTTGCATGAAAAGTCAAACTTTACCAGCGGAAGATCAGCCAGGTCTACAAGATGACACAAACACAAAAAATATGTTAAAATCAGGCAACACTTTGAGCTACCACGTCTTTATATTTTGTTTCAATAAGAATCATGATCATTTCTATCAGGATTCATTTTTGTCACAAAAAAAAGCAACTAAAAAACGAGTGAATAATGGCAAGGAAAAAAAAATCACTTTTGTTCATCAAAATAAATTAGATCACTATAGCAGACTGGAATAGCTACTGTATGCTGCTGTGTAAAGTGTTAATACCATTTGGACCCAGACATACAGGCAAATGTATAATATTTGACATGTGTATGAGTATACACTAAGGGTTAGGTTATAAAAAAAACGAAAAAACAAGTTTTAAACAACTAAATGAGGTCCTGTTAAAGCAATTGTTTAAAATGTAAACACCTACAGTACTAGTTGTAAATTTTGTAACTCTTTCAGCACAACCCTTATGCTGAAAGAAAGCCACAGGAACTGTATTCACTTTAGGTCTGAGCAATGTGGGGAGACAGGAGCAGATGAAAGAAGGGTCAGAACAAAATGTAAGTAAAAATTTTGGCAAACATGCAAAGCACTATATGTGGCAGAATATTAGCACTGCACAACAGACCGAACACACCATCCCCTCTTCGAACTACAACAGTGGCACTAGCTTAGTAGGGGAACCCTTTTTTCAAGTGAAGCTGTTCTGTTTATGTTTTAATGTACAGTGGGTCAGAAGGTATTCAGACCCATTTAACCCTGTAAAACCCAAATATAGAAAAACACAAAAAAACTTTTTTTCAGCCACTCAGATGTTGTTGTAGGAGGCCTTTGAGGCTGAAAATGAAGTGTTTTAAAAAATGTTATGTTTTAGCAAGTTTTTACAGAAATTTTGTAATATTGCGACATTGGGCCAAATGGGGAGCAGAATTTCCTGTATTTGTACTCATTGTCTGAACAACAATACATAACTATGGATTAATTTGCAGGGTTTGGCTTTTATCCCTGAACAGTATAGCATGAAAAATAATCTCAGTCATGTTTTTATGAACATATTTGAACATATTTGAAAAGAGAATAATCAATATTGTTCACTCTTTGTTTCATTGCAGCCATCTGGTAAAATAGAAAAAGTTCACTTTATTTCCCATGAATGTACACTCAGCACAATATCTCAACAGAAAAAAAAAGACAAATGTCGAAATTTTTGCAAATTCATCAACAAAGAAAAACTGAAATGTCAAATGGTCATAAGTATTCAGAACCTTTGCTGTGCTGTCCATTTTATTCTCATCCTCCTTGAGATGGTTCTGCTCCATCATTGGAGTCTAGCTGTGTTTAATTAAACTGATGGACTTGATTAGGAACGGCACACACCTGTCTGTGTTAGACCTTACAGCTCACAGTGCATGTCAGAGCAAACGAGAATCATGAGGTCCAAGGAAGTGCCCGAGGAGCTCAGACACAGGATTGTGGCAAGGCACAGATCTGGCCAAGGTTACAAAATAATTTCTGCAGCACTCAAGCTTACCAAAAGCACAGTGTCCTCATTAATCCTTAAATAGAAGAACTTTGGGACGACGCAAACTCTTCCCAGACCTGGCCGTCCAGCCAAACTGAGCAATCATGGGAGAAGAGCCTTGTTGAGAGAGGTAAAGAAGAACCCAAAGATCACTGTGACTGAGCTCCAGAGATGCAAAAGAGAGATGGGAGAAGGTTCCACAAAGATAACTATCACTGCAGCCCTCCATCATTTTGAGCTTTATGGCAGAGTGGCCCGATGGTAGTATCTCTTCAGTGCAAGATATGAGAAAGCCTGTATAGAGTTTGTAAACACATTAAGGACTTTCAGACAATAAGAAAGTAGATTCTCTGGTCTGATGAGACCAAGACTGAACTTTTTGGCATTAATTCTATGCGGTATGTGTGGAAAAACCAGGCACTGTTCATCACCTTCCCAATACAATCTCAACAGTGAAACATGGTGGTGGCAGCATCATGCTATGGGGGTGTTTTTCAGCTACAGGGACAGGACAACTGGTTGCAAGAGAAGGATAGATGAATGCGGCCAGCTACATTATATATCCAAGAAGAAAACCTCTTCCAGAGTGCTCAGAGTAACCCTTCCCTTCACCTTCCAAAAAGACAGTGACGCTAATCACACAGCTCAAATAACAAAGCAGTGGCTTGGGAACAACTCTGTGACTCTTGAATGGCCCAGCCAGACCCATGACCTTAACCCTATTGAGCATATCTGGAGAGACTTGAAAATGGCTGTCCACCAATGCTCACCATCCAACCTGACAGAACTGGAGAGGATCTGTGAGGAAGAATGGCAGAGGTTCCCCAAATCAAGGAGTGTAAAAAAACTTGTTGCATCATTCCCAAGAAGACTTGGGGCTGTTCTAGCTCAAAAGGGTGCTTCTACTCAATACTGAGCAAAAAGTCTGAATGTTAAGACGATGTGATATTTCACTTTTTCATTTTTGAACTTTATTGATTTATGTAAATGGCTGCAACAAAGTGAAAATTTTAAGGGGGTCTGAATACTTTCCATAATAACTGTAGCTGGATACTGGAAAATCCTTGAAGAAAACCCATTAGAGGCTGCAGACATAGAGCAGAAATCCTTTTTGTTTTGTTGGTTTGGACGGATGGAAAACTGCTCTATAGCTTGCCCCTTTTTTGATTTACATGTAATCACTGTGTATTTTACGATATACATGCACCGTTTAAAATAACAACAACACAAGAACCTTTTGGCATAGACCATGGGATGAGAAGTGAAAATGAATGAATTAGAAAAATATTAATAATGCTTCAAATAATTCCACAAAAAAGCATCTTAAAACACTTAATAGCCAATTAAAAGCTATCAACTTACATTTAAAAATCCAATGGGAATATTTTTTTGTAAACAAATACTATAGTATCCGCCAGAGTTAATCCTTATATTCACTGAGTCAGCAGAATACTTTCTATATAAACTGAGACATAGTTGGATCACTGAATGATATTTACTTTTGTTTGTTTTAACCATGTTTCTAAATCTATCACCCAAAAAGGTTCAGTTCCGCCTGATGGCTTAGTAGCATTGGATGATGTCATGGTGGATGCATTTCCTGGATTTATATATAACTTATTAAAAAGCAAATGAGAATGTGTCTTTTTTTGTCTTGTTTGAAGGTCAGCTCCTTAAGTTTGAAAAATCCTATGACATTTGAGAAATTTTTAGTAAAAGGCAAACATCAGACAACACTTAAAATATGTGATTTGAGTTTCTCCAGATGAACTAGGGACAATTGTGTTTCTCTCAAAGTCACCAATCAGACCTTAAAACTAGACGTTGATCCATGGCAAAGGTTTAGGTGTATTTTAGGAATCTTAGAAGGGCGTGGCAGAGCAAACACTAGACTGTGGTCTAAAATGAGCCTGTCTCCTCCAAAATTAAAGCTACATTTTAAAAACCACAAAGAAAAGACAAATAACTGTAACTAAAAATAACCTCAAAGGGACCAAACTCACCTTCTGGCAGGACACAGAGAAGATTTCGCCGAACATTGAGTTCCTTCAGGGCTTTAAGCCTGCTAATGTGTCGAGGTAGAGCCGTGATCTCATTACAGCTGATATCCTGAGAAAAATGAAACAGCAATTTAGACAAAATGTAAATCGCTTCACACAAAATTGTTTTAAGTTTCAACTCATAACTCTACAGGAAAACCTGGGAGAATTGGTTGTAAACTCAATACAACACTAAATCTTAAATTTCAGTTTAAAAGAAGAGGCTTAAGGAGCCCAATATATCGAAACTGCAGAAATAGTTTCATAGGTCATCTTAATATAGGGGAAGATATTAAGTAAAATTTGCATTTTTTTATCTCATTTGTTTGTTTGTTTTTACTCTTGACACCTTCCTTATCACTGGTACCCACAGCAGGTCATTAATAATGCTCATCAAAGCTGTCACGGTTTTAATGCCCTCCCTGTCGCAACCAAAATTTGAACCCAGGTCCCTCTCATGGTAATGGTAATAGCATGGTTAGTATACTTACATTTACTGTTATATTTATCTAATGAACCTGAACCTAATTTTTTTTAAACTTTTTTGACTGATCTCATATAAGGATTAGGAGCTTTTGCTTCAATACATAAATATTTGAACTTGATCTTTCCTTCATTTACTGTTAGATTTAAAACAATCACCTCCATCAAGGAAGCTGCAATAAATATTCTTGTCTTCTTATGCATTACTATCCAATCAGAGAGCTTAAAAATAAGAATGAGCAGATTATAATTTTGAAACAATTAAAATTCTATACTCACCAGAAAAATGCTAAATCCCTAATTGCACACAATTTCTGGCCCAGACTCACATCAGCGAGAGAATATATCCAGCTCTAAAAAGGTAGCACTAAAATACCACCGTATACATAATTTTTGTAATCCCAGAGAAATGTTCACCATGCTCTTCTGGAACTGCAATGTACAGAGTGAATCAGTCTTACCAGTTCCATGAGGCCGTGCAGCTGCCCAATGGTCTCCGGTAGGTTCACTAGCTTGTTGTTGCTGGCGTTGAGGACCCTCAGAGGTAGACCACAGAGACATGACGGCAGAGAGCCCAGTTGATTTCGACTATAAAACAAAAACACACATCGTTCAAACAGAAATAGAGGAAAACGACTAAGAAACCCCTAAAGGTGTGACTTATGTCACAAATCATGAATGCAACTGAAGTTTAAATCACAGTTTTTATTGTTGTCTAAATCTGAGACAAAAAATCCAAATGGCTTTCATTGTTTTTTTTAAGGAACACAGCATTTAAATATCCATTTGCAAAAATAAATGCAAAGATACAACTGGAGCTAATTAACATTTCAGTTTAAACCCTCAACTAATTATACTGAGAATTAAACAATCATAGAAATATAAGTTTAACAATATGTGTTAATGAGGCAGACAATATAAGATTGTCTTCCTTCCTTCTACGGTTCTTTATTGGTTTTAAGCTGTATTGTTTGTGTTCTTTTGATGTAATGAATGAATGAAATACATTTTTTTTATTAAAAAAAAACTTGTATAACTAAAATAAGGCATAAGCACAGAAATACATCCATAAATAAAATGCTGACCAAATAAGGACATTTTGCAGTGTGGAAGCTCTCCTAACCAAAAGCGGTGAAATGATTAGGACTACACAGTCATAGTCAACTATATCTCACAAGGTCTGGGGTGTGAAATATTTTGTTATTAATTTGATGCACTCCATTACAGGTTATGGTGCCAGTTCAACGTGCATTTTATAGACCATGCAAATTTTTTGAAAGTTTTTATAATTGTCTAAGAGGTAAGTAATTTTGGAGAAGAAAAGCATCTATTTATGTTGAGGTTTGATTAAGCTTTTCAATAATTAAGAGCTTATCCAGTACTACATACAAATATTTAAGTACATTTATAGCCTTGAGTTCTTCCTCATGCAAAATTGAATCCAAGTAAGAAATCATGTTTATTTGCTTTATACATACAAATAATTTTTGATGTGTTTATGAAAGACAAAAAAAATTGAAAAAAGCCTAAACTTGATATATGTCTACTGTTCAGCTTTTTGATACTTTTTGGTAATTATTAATAGAATAACATTCTTTTTAAATAATAACATTAGGAGGATTATTGATACATAGGGACAAAATGGTGGGTTTAAGTGCAACCTCCAAATATTTACCTCCATTGGCTGGTACAATTTGACATCTATCAGACAGGTATGAATCCATCTACTTTGTTTTGAGATTTTGAATTAACTTATTTTGGCTAATAAAATAATGTGGTCAGCTGCAAAAAAAAAACAAAAAAAAACACCTTTATATCAAGAAATTTAGTACTATTTGTACTGAACCCAAACTGTGTATGACTGACATTTGCAAAGCTGTTTTGTCAAATACTGTATGGAACACACAGAATGTGTGTTGATGCAGACTTCTTCCCCAGAGCGAGGAAGAGGTGCACTTATAAGACTTAGGATCACGAGCATGACATCAGGTCCTTTTACTGGGGGCAAGCTTTGCGAATCATTACTTTAGGGAACGATTTGGTTAAATTACTCAACTATGATTCTAATGACATATGTTTAAGAATCGATTAATCACAATTGATAAGCTTAATAATTTCTACTCCAAATTGATCAGATAGCAAATGGAAAACAATTAAATGTCACAGACAGCTCCACACCCATCATCAGCTGCTTTGATGTACATGCCACCTTGTGACAGCTGCTGGCTTTGGTGGTGGCCTCTTTTTCAACAAAATGGTGGGAGTGTGATTGTTCATACCTAAGGTTCAAGGATGTAAGGGACTGCAGGGCGATGATGCTGTCTGGGATGCTCCTGATGCAGTTGTGATACAGGTTTAGGGTCTCCAAGGCAACCAGGTGACAAACCTCTGAGGGGATGTCACTGAGCCGATTCTTTGAGAGGTCTGCGGAGAAAACAAATTGAATAAATACAAGCTAGGAAAACACTGGAAGAAAACAACCAAAAAATGTATTGGGTCAACATGAGATTTTTTTTTTTTTTTACATTCCAATATTATGTTTGGATTATAGGAGATTTAGTTTTTTTTTTCTTTCTTTTCAGGCTATGAACATTTTGCAGAGCTAAAAAAAATGTGTTTTTTTGTTGGTTTACAGGTTTGACATTAAAATGCTGCTTTCGATAGGTTTGCAGCTTTCAAGACTCAAACAAATCCCAAAGTTTTCAGCCAGTGTGGTTTGAAAGGTTCACAGCATCTAAATTACTCTCTGATGACCATCCAGGAGCAGAATACAATCTCCCTTAGCAACAAAACAGCTCACTATGAGCCTACAGCTCGGGAAGATGAGACAAACAGTTCACACCAAGTTTAATGATCTCTGCTCACTTTAATAACAACCAGCTATCTGCTGGTATAAATTAAAGAGTATGGATGCTTCTAATGCTTTAAAGGACTTTCTTCAACGGTTTTGTTACCAATGAAGCACAATCAATTACTTTTTCCAAAACCTGTCTATCATTACAGAAGACAAGTGCACAGAAATCTGAGGAGAGCTTGTCATTATGATGCTGCTATTTCGCATCATACATTCACTCACAGGCAGGCAGCTTATATCTGCCTCTAAGTCGTTGCTGTTTTAATAAGCGACAGAAATAAAATGAATTTGGGTCATTAATTCATCTGCTGTTTCGGTTCTTCTAAAAAGATGTGAGGTAAACTGGAGAGTGCCAGTGAGAACATCATGTCAGCATCGGGGCTGCTGCACAAAACCTCACAGGAAAAAGTCCAGAATTAGATGCATCAGCAGACATGTTCACAAGTCATTTTTTGCAAGTCCAAGTCAAGTCTCAAGTCTTGAGAGCTCAAGTCCAAGTCAAGTCTCAAGTCTTGAGAAGGCCTGTCGCAATCAATTAATCGCACAAAAAATTGTAATCACTTGATTAATTAAAAAAAGTGCAATAATTTTCGTGCTTGCTTGTTTCTCCTTGTGTTTTCATCTCCGTCACTGAGAAGGTATAGCTAAGAGGTCGCTATTATATCTATGGAATTACCATTATCTTGAACTGCAAAATGAAAAATACAATTAATAAAGCACACACGCAAAACTTTTTTCCAGATAAATTTCGCATTTTTTTATAAAGAAAAAAAACTATTTTCCTACAGTATTTACCTGACATTTGTGGTTACAACTGTTTCTAGTTTTAGTAGTAAATGTCTGCTTTTTATTTTTAAGTGAAAATGAGGAGTGTGGGGGAAAAAAACAATCACAATCCTGCCTTTTATTAATACATATGAGGTTTGCAACTACAAGAGATAAAGAAAAACCCTAAACAAATAGCAGGACAATAACAATACTTTTATAAAAGAAAGATTGTGGCAATAACTTTTTGTAACTTAATGACATGGCGGGCAGTATTTTCAATTCAATTCAGTTTATTTATTTAGCGCCAATTTACATTATTCACAACATATTTCTCCTCTACCACTGCCATGGAGCTTTTAAAGCTGGGCTTGTCGATCAAAGACAAGGGGAGGTTGCATGAAATAATAAGGTCCTGAATTATTGCCTTATGTCTGTGATGTCCCTGGCTGTACACCTGCACTGCACTGTAGCTGATAAAATTAGATGTGGTGGACCAAGCATCGTGTATTTTTTCTAAAGAAGCTGCAGTTTGCTGCTCTTTTATTCCCGCCTTATGTAAAGTTTTTGTAGCCAAAGGTTATTATTAACGGTGGCACCAAAACAGGGGGGCTAATCCTCGCTTCCATATCTGTATGGGTTGCATGCATGCATGCGCACGGGCATATATGTCACATACTGTTGCGTCAGTGACGTCAGTGTGTTGCGCAGGGAAAAATATGATTTATGGTTTTCTTTCATTTAAATGTTAGTTTTATGCTTTTCATGTTTGGCAAGGAAGATATGATTTGTTTTTCTTTGTATTTTCTTCTTGAGCTTTGCATGTTTTGATGTTTCTTTTTTATATGATTGCTTTCCTTTTAGACTTTTGAATTTTTCCTGCATGTTGGGTTGTTTTGGTTTGTTTTTCCCTTGTGACAATCCATGCGCGATGGACTGAAGTAGTTGTCTGAGGAGGCGGAGTGCATTAATTGCGCTGCGTAATTGCTGCGCTCAGGTGTGAGCAAGGGCTGATTAAAGCCGACATAAAAGGAGTCTGAAGGAAATGAGAACGGAATCTGCAGGTGACAGAGACGGACGCGCTTCTAGGGGAGAGGCAAGCGGGTGCACAGATGGCCCAGTAAGGAGTATTAGGGCAGAGGAGGAACCTCGCCTGTAAGTAGCGCTCCCCCTCGCTTAAAGCATAAACAGGAATATATCTTCCGACGGGGTTTTGGCGCGTGGATGCTGGCGTTCTCCTTGCTTCTCTTTTTAGCTGGATCGGTCTGGAAAGGGGTGTGGCACGCCAGGGAGTGGAACAGTGCCGGAGCGCCGCAGAGTCAGGTGTGGATCAGCCAGTGGGTGCTCCAGGCCGATCACTCGCACCAGAAGCAGCATAACAAGCGGAGCCCAACTTCCAGCCTCTGATTTTTAAGGAAAACTCTTGAATTTTAGGTTTTATCAGGAGAAGAAAAGGACTGTTTTATTATGCCACTTTTGCTGTGGCTTTTTGTATAAATAAAACACTTGAACTTGAGTGCTTCACGGTTTGGGTCTTTGAGTTGTTTGCTCCCCCTTGTGTCAAAGACTGAGTGTGGGGCCATACTGGCCACAAGTGCTACTTTTTTTTTTTTTTACCTCTTCTGTGTGTGGGTAAGGCGAGCGGCGATCAGTCAAGTTAGTAAAACAAAAAACACTTGAATAAGTGTTTTTACACTGGAATAAAATATTGTTCACAAGTCGGAAATCACGAGTCTCAGTCAAGTCTGAAGTCCTTCAAATGCAAGTCTAAGTCGAGTCTGAAGTCATTAAATATGCGACTTAAGTGCGACTCGAGTACGAGTCACAAACTCGAGTCCCCATCTCTGTGCATCAGTCGTTAATGTCAGCTTTAAAACATTAAATACTTCGTTTTCGAGGTTTGGAGGGAGGGATATAATAGGAAAGCTGACTTAAGGAACAAACACAAGGGAAGAAATAAAAATTAGACAGGGGAGAAGAAAGAAGAATTGGCAAGGAAGGACAGGGATATGGGGATATGCTAAATCCTACTAAGAAGTAGGATGAAACAGTTGGAAACAGAAAAAAAAACAGAAATCCCAACATATTTGTTTTTTAAAACTATTTTTTGTATGATACAGCCACTAAGTATTTGAACATCTGTCAAGAATTCTGACCCTCAAAGACCTGTTAGTCTGCCTTAAAATGTCCACCTCCACTCTATTTATTATCCTAAATTAGATGCATCTGTTTGAGGTAGTTAGCTGCATAAAGACACCTGTTGGGGAACAACCTCATTTCCTCAGTTAGAGCATTAAACATGGGTCAAGGCTGGGTCTTCCAAAAAAAAAAAAAAAAAAAAAACATACATTGTGATTTCGTTTTTTTTTTTTTTTTTCTTTTGAAGGTTATTTCTGTCAAACTGGACATGCACCTACGATGACAATTTCAGATCCCCCCCAGGATTTCTGAGTGGGAGAACTTTCAAAATAGAAGGTTGTCCAAATACATATTTTCTTCACAGTAGGTAGTAGCTACCAACAGTAGAAAAACACAGCTCGTATCTTTTTGTTATGTTCCATATGTCCAGTGTTATTCACCAAAACAATATTAATTCTGGATCAGCCAACCAACCCTGATGAGCTCTGTTAGGTGACGCTCAAAACAATGCTCTTGAGTATGAACGTTGTAAATGAGATCAGGTTGTTTTATCTTTTTTTAAACTTTTAAACTTGATACATTTGGAAATGTCAGCAGCCTTTTTGGCATAATTACATTCCAATAAAGACTTAAATCAACTGATACCAGAAGGCTAAGGAGTTAGCAACACAACCTGCTGATATAAGATATTTTTTAAGGATCAGTTAAACCTTTAGTACCAACCACTCTATTATACATAGTGGGAATTTTTACCTTTTCTGTTAAGAACAACTGATGACTGCTCACAGCTGAAAAGTGAAAAGAATAGCAATACCGTTCTACTACCATTGTATCTAAAGGGAAAAATTAACATGTTTGCTGCAACATTCCAGTCAGAATAGCAGTGGACAAATGTATGATTTAGGGAAGTCAGTATTTGTTAAAAGTGCAAGAGCCAGCTGCTCAAGGCCAGGACTGGTGACATCACATCCTGCGTATTTTGGCAGCAACAGCTTCAACTAGACTTATCGGCGGTCGCCAAATAAGGGAGAGAAATGTCATTCCACATTGTTCTGCGGAGGTTCAACACCTCTTGACAAACCCGGTTTGTTTCTTCACGGACAAAGTTTTATTTTCTTTGTGGGCAGCAATCATGGATGAGGTGGGATTTACTTTTTTTATTAAATATTTAAGAGTGTTTTAGTGCAACTGTGCATGACCTTTCAAGACAATGACTAAGCCTTATGTTGATTCTGTTAATGGATAATGGTTACTCGTGCTGCCGTTTCAGAGTCAATAGGTGAGAAATAAAAGGCAGTCGGTCCTGCAAGTGGCTACCTGACCAGCAAGGGGCTACCTGACCAGCAAGGCAGGAATCTGCCCCTGCATACTTATCCATGGGAGGAAGACAGAGAAAACTCCCGCAAATCACTAAGCTGCACAAGCTTGCATGAGAAGCTCTGACAAAACAACAACAACAGCAAGGCCAGTGGTGCATTATGGGTGCTGCAGTAACAGGAAGTGATATTTAAAGCGAGATGAATGAGGAACAAAGAGCTTCTCAGCCCCACTTTCATCTAGGCTAATGCGAAACTCACACCAGCATACAGCTATTAATGTTGAAGGGGTGTGTGTGCATGTGTGTTTCTGACTATACTAATAAGAGGCTGATGTGATCCAGTCTTGC